GATAGATAGATAGATAGATAGATAGATAGATAGATAGATAGATAGATAGATAGATAGATAGATAGATAGATCAGCCTTCCATCCTTCCGAGGTGGGTAAAATGACCCAGATTGTTGGGGCAAGATGCTGCCACCCTAAACCGCTTAGAGTGGGCTATAAAACACTGTGAAGCGCTGTATAAGTCTAAGTGCTGTTGCTGTATGGCTGGCTCTCTCAGGTGGTTTACCCCAATGAACCCCAATGCAAAAACCCCATAATGCCCTCCCTCCTGGCCCGAATTAAATGAATGAATCAAGGAAAGAGATGCGGGTCTGAGCTCCTTAGGAGGAGGAATTGCAGGGAGAGTCCTAACAGATGCACACACCACTTACTCACCTAGGGAGGTGAAGCCACACCAGGGGTATCCAACCTTGGCAACTTTAAGACCTGTGGACTTCAGCTGCCCAAATTCTGGGCATTGGAGTCCACGGGTGTTAAAGTTGCCAAGGTTGAACGGCCCAGCTTACACTCTAGATCTGCCCTCCTCCTGTCCATGGGGCCTTGTCCGAGACTGAAATCCCAGGCCAGCAAAATCCGTTCTCTTCCATGTGGGAGACGCCGCGAAGGAGCTTCCTTTGGGAACGGTGGTTTCCGCCTGCCGTCTTCCCTTTCTGTGACCGAGTCTCCTCTTCAGGTCGCTTAGTGAGAACCACAGACAGGACGAGGAGCAGGATGACGACAACTACGCCCGGGAAATGTCCAGGTTCTTAGCCAACGCCATTGCCAAGCCCCTCCCCCTGACCCCGGAGAACGCCCCGCACAAGCATCACAACAACAGTGTGGACGACACTCTGGTGGCCCTGAATGTGCGGCCGGCGCTGCGCAACGGGCTGGAAAGCAGCCTGGAGGAAGCTTCCTACCACGAGGAGTCCCTGCAGGAGGAGCTGGACAAGGAGAGCGAAGAGCAGCTCCAGTGCACCCATCCGGCAGGTGAGGTCAGAGCCCTGGAAGGGCTCGGCTGGTTGACCCTTGGCTCTCTCAGATGGAGCATTCATTTATTATTTTGATTTTATCCTGCCTTTCTCTTTGTGTGAAGAATTCAAAGCAGCCTGGCATATTTAATACTTCCTCCTCCTCCTCTTATTTTCCACACAACACTAACCCTGTGGGAGTGAGTTGGGCTGAGAGGATGATTGGTCCAAGGTCATCCACCAGCTTTCGTGCCTAAGACGGGACTAAACTCACCGTCTCCCGGGTTTCTGTCCTGGTGCCTTAACCCCTAGACCAGATGGGTGTTTATTGGGATGGAAAGAATGGCTTTCTGGGAAGCAGTCATTGGCCTTGCCCACCCCCACCCCTGTGTGACTCTGCCATTGTTTGGATGGTGCTCCAGAGAGCTGAGATGGGGTGCTAAAAGCTAAGCCAAGTTGCAGTTTGTGGCCCAAATTTGCGCAGGCATCGGGTGTCTTCCAAAAGGGGCAAAATCAACCGGGTGAAATTTCAGAGTTTCCTTAAAAAAAGGGGGGGGAAAGCATGCTCCGGATCACCCAGCTGTGGCTGTCAGAAGGCCAGTTTCCCATACTGGCCCCCAGTCAGTGAACTCACCATTAGTCCTGGAAAAGGCCCTTCTCCCAGGCCCCCTCCGTGCCCTCCCCCAAAGCTGCAGCAGAATCTGGGTTGGCAGATCACTAGAGCAGAAGACCTTGGAGCCAGAGACAGGCCTTGGAAGCAGCCAGGGCAAAACCTTTGGGTGCCAAAAATCCAGAAGATGCTTAACCCCCCACCCCCCCACCCCCACACAAACCAAAGAGAAACTTCCTTTACATATTTATTGCACATGATGATGAAGAAGGCGGGGCTTAGCAGTGAGAAGACGGACTTCCAGGCAGCTCCTGAGAGACCATCTTAAACCGGGTCATTTGGACGATTCTTTTTGGATCTAAGCTGTCCCGGAGAGACAGTGAAAGGTAGAGGGAACTCCAGTGGTCCCAGAGATGGGCTCAGCTTTTGATGGCCTTATGACATGTAAAGGTTTGAAAAATACAGTCCAGTGCTGTGTATAGGGCAGTGTTTCTCAACCTTGGAGACTTTAAGTCCTGTGGACTTCAACTCCCAGAATCCCCCAGACAGCACAGCATGCTGGGGAAGT